ACAATAAGAAGGGATAGAAGAGAAGTAGTATATCTTCCTGAGGTTTTTTTTTTTTTTTTTAAGTCACTTTGTTCAATAAAGGAAGCAAGTTTTTTTCTTTTTCCTCACCACAGGGAAGTGGTAGAAATGGAACCAAACCTTAACACAGTTTCTTTGGCTCTTAATTTCAGTTTGTCCACAGTGGAAATTGAAAATCGAGCCCGAGCCCTTCATCTCTTTGAGACTTTGAAGACTGATCCCGAAGCCTTTCACAAGCACATGGTCAAGTATATTTACCCTACTATTGGTGGCTTTGACCATGAAAGGCTGCTGTATTATTTCACTCTTCTGGAGAACTGTGGTTGTGCAGATTTGGGAAAATATGTCATTAAACCAGAAACCCACATTCGCCTGCTGAAGAAATTTAAGGTAGTTGCACCAGGTAGGATGATTCTTTCATTTAAACTCATTTTTTTTTAATTAAAGCTAAGGATTAATTTTCTGTATACAGTCTTGTATATGCATTATAGTAGGCAAGCTCTGAAACTACACAATTTTTAAGCTGATTGACTTAGTTATTATATTTCCAACTCTTCTACTTATGATTGAGCAAATTAAATACCAGAAAAAGTATGAAACCTATTGAAAGTCACATTAATTATGGTAGACCTGGTACTAAAATCCAATGTTTTGGGCTACTGCTCTAGGGATTTTTTTTTTTTTTGTCTACTTCTATAGGTTATATTTGATATATATAAATGGCACGGCAGAGACCCTTTACAATAGGCAATTCAGTAGAATTTCACTTCATTAAAGCCTGTTTAAAATACACATGGAACACTTAAAATAAGAGCCTTTGAATCTTTGATAAATTGTATCTTTAGAATGGTGTCTTTATGCCCATAACTAAGAAATTAAAACCTTAATACCTTTAAAATCTGTATGATGCTTTATAATTTTTAAAGCACATTCAAATCTATATTTATTTGAAATTCATAGCAATTGAGAGAGGTTTCTTCAATTCATCAGTTGTTTATGAAGTAGTCAAATTAATATTGGCCTGGACACGGAGGATAAGGACAAAGATTCGATCCTTGCCTTCAAGTAACTCATGAAATGCCAGATAAATAACAAAAGAACATAATGTAGTTTGGTGAATGCATGAGAGGAAAAGCGTAGGTGTTGTGGGGAATCTGAGAACATGGATACATTTCCGTCCCCAGTGTACAGTGAGGAAGGGGAGGGAGGCACACAAGTAGAGTGACCGACCTGTCGAGCGTCACGCAGCTGTGGGGAATCTGAGAACATGGATACATTTCCATCCCCAGTGTACAGTGAGGAAGGGGAGGGAGGCACACAAGTAGAGTGACCGACCTGTCGAGCATCACGCAGCTGGTTTAGTTTGAGGCTGGGACCAGAACTCAGATCTACTGACCTGTCTAACTGAAAACCTAAACCCACTTCAGCTAAATTGGTAGATCTTTTCATTAAGCCGTGCAGAGGGTGGTATGTATGCAAGAAACTCCTGTATGTTTACTGTGGTATGTACTGCTTGCCTACTTTTTTTTTTTTTTTTGCTTTTCTTTATAATAGGTCTCAATTACAAAAAACTGACAGATGAAAATATGAGCCCTCTTGAAGCACTGGAGCCAGTCCTTTCAAGTCAAAATATCTTATCTATTTCCAAACTTGTTCCCAAAATCCCTGGAAAGGATGGACAGATGCTTTCCCCAAGCTCTCTCTATACCATCTGGTTACAGAAGTTGTTCTGGACTGGAGACCCTCACCTCATTAAACAAGTCCCAGAGTCCTCCTCGGAGTGGCTTCATGCCTATGATGTCTGCATGAAGTACTTTGATCGCCTCTGCCTGGGTGACCTCATCACTGTGGTAGATGCAATTACATTTTCTCCAAAAGCGGTGACCAAGGTAACCAAAAAAATAGTTTAAAGTGGATTGAGTGCTTTGGAAGAAATGAAAATTACTTGTACGTTTTGTAGATTTTATTTTTATTTCCTTTCTTGAAATGCAAAACAATTACATGTTTTTGGCTTTTCTTTTGCAAAGCATGAAGTGTTTTAACTAGGAAATAATTTTCTTCTAGTATAGATGTACAGCTATTCTGAATTAACAATTCAGGTGTACATTGACATGTACATTTTGTGCATGTTACAGTTCTCATAAGGTGTCATTTTATAGTAAATACACGAAGAAGCTTCAGTGCCCAGCCCAGAGTACTTGCATTCAGAACCCAGGCTAACAACTTAGCTATGGCTACATTGAATCCATACAAAATTTCATATGAATATCCCGCAGCACACGAGTTGGTGGTGGAATTACGCCCAGGTCCAAGTCCTTTGACTGCCTCCTCCTGCCTGCTCTGCGTCCCCTAGTGATGTGTGGTTTCACTCAGAATAGATAATGTGGGTTCTCTTCCCCGTCCTTGCCCTCTCACCCGGATAGTACTGCTAAACAAATGTAAACTTCTCACTGCTTGGACCTTGGGCGCATCATCCCTTCTGGAAAATCTCCTAGCCTCTGGTCTCACCTGCTGAACTCTGTTGCCTTTGGAGCACCCTTTTTATCTTCTCTGCCTGTCTTTACTGTTCCCTTCTCTTTCCCCCAGGTCAGTAAATCTGCCCAGTACCCCCATCCCATGTGTCTTTATTATAGTTGATCTTATCCTGGAAGCAGAGTGTGAAGGCTAAGAACTGCAGATCACTCATTGGGAGGTTAGCACAGGCAGAGATCCGAACATCTGTGCAGAATGCTGCTAGTTTTAACCAACTTGCCAGAAAAATAGCTGTGGACAACCAAGGACTTCTATGTTTTCTTTTTACTGCAACCCAAAGTAATTTAGTTAATAAGTTGGTTTTAAAATTTATAAACACTTCTATAAAAAGGAGATAATTTTTGTTGCTTTTAAGGAGGGAAAAAAGGAGGATTTTAAAGGAAATCAGCCCAATGTATTTGAAAAGATCACGTTTGGAATAGTATAAACCTGGCTTTAAACTCTGAACCTACCTCTTATGAGCTATGTGGTTGAGCCTCAGGAATCTCCATTAGATTTTTCCCTCCTAGAGGCAGAGGCCAATGTCTGAGTAATCTGTGAAGCAGATAATATTACAGTTCTGATTTTACAGACAAGGAAACTGAGGTGCAGCCAAGTTAAGTTGGTAGTAGAGAACCCACAATTCAAACTCAAGGAGACTCAATCTGTGGCATTTTCTTTGACCCACTGAACTGCACTGTCTCTAACATGTCACAGAACAAGGAGCTAGAGCCAAAGACCTAGAGCCTTTCCAGAAGCTGTGAGAGAGCCTTGAAACCAGTCCATGGGGAGCAGCCTGTCCTGGGATGTGTTCAGAGCAGGGCCAAGTGCAAGTGAGAAGGGCCCAGCAGGAACTTAGTGAAGGGACTGAACCAGGTAGGGCGCGTGACATGCAAGAGAACAGCTGGAGCCGAGACCAGCGACCTAGCTGAAGGGGCCGGGTGAGCTCACAGATCAAGAAAAGAAGTGAAGTCCCTGTGCCAAGACAGTCTCCTGTCCCCAACTTGAGGCAGAAAAAGATTTTAAATATTTTATGTGAGGGCAGAAAAGCTGCCAAGGTCAGCCAAGGCTGCGAGCTAATTGTGAGCCTGTATGTGAAGGTGGACAGACACTTCAGACGTTCCAGTAGCAATTCTTGATTCATGTTTAAACTTTGGAGTGGGAAGCAAAGTTCACTCAGGAATCTTAGCTGTTATTCATGATGTTTAAGTGAGATGATTTTAAATTATAGCACATTCTCATCACTTTAGTTCCTTAATCTTATACATCCGAGATGTCCACCAGCCATCTGAAAATGTATGGCACGGTTGTTTGTGCACATATATGTGTATTTTTCTGATTAAGAGACGCACAGCTGCACAGTCCCAGTAAAGATTCACTCACTGCATTGCTTTCTCTTAGCTCAGATGGTATAATTCAAGCACAGCTATTTATTTATTATAAACTGTTCTCAAGAGGTGGTTTTCTATGGAGTCAGGTAAGTTATAGGGAGGGGTGACAGGTACATTTAAAATTAACTGTACATTGTTAGTTTAGTCACAGTATTTTTTCTATTAGTTAGCAAGCTTTTATTATCCGTTTAGAGAGGAAAAGTATAAAGGTTGGATAAACTGCACGTTTGAACCACACAATGCTTCTTATACATATACATATATATATATATATATAGAGAGAGAGAGAGAGGGAGATAGTGAGCATAAAAATCAAAATGAAACACAGCCTGTGCATGTCAGCGGACACATTTGGAAGAGGAAATGCAGCTGGATTTGCCCCAGTTTGCAAAACACCAGATGTTCCCACAGCTTGTACATGATGTAAGAAATGTAAAGTAAGTGTGTACTATTCATACACAGGACGCAGTTTTCAAATATGTGCCCACATTTAATTCACAACCAAATTTTTAGAAAGAATTGGTAACTGATTCTAGAGTACATAAGAGCAATAAGCAATTGTCTAATAAGATGTTAGAATTCAGAGAAGAATATTCTCACAGCATGAATTCAGTGCCCCATCCACTGATAAAATATACATAGAAGGCCCTTTGTCTTCATGGTAACAGTCATCCACTTGCCGTTTGCATTAGCAGAATTCTTAGACATTCTGGGGGAAATATTCACAGAATGGTACTGTGTCATGTAGGCATAGAGTAAATTTGTGACATTTGAGGTGATTAATATGCAGAAGGGAAAAGGCTGCAAATGCTTAAAGTACATTTATCGCAGATCTAAATTGCTTTGTTTTTGTTGCGTCAGAATAGACTTGCTCTACTATTGCTTCTCAGTTCAACAATTAGAAACATTGTCACAGAAGGGGCAGGGAAGAAGTTAGTGGATTAGAAATTCAGGAAAATGGTAAAAGAAGCTGGAAAGCACTGTTTCTTGGCTCAGACGTGATGTGGTGGGATGAGGGGGAGCACAGCCTTCGTATTTTCTGCTTCCGATTTGTTTTCAGTTGTAGTGCAGCTATGTCTGTAGATACGATGTGGAAAATACTCCTCTCGCTTATGGAATGCTCCCAGGAAGTTTGCTGGGATCCTTCTTTTAAAGCCTTCTTTATGTCTGGCTGGGCATAGTGGTGCTTGCCTGTAGTCCCAGCTACTTGGAGGCTGAGGCAGGAGGACTGCTTGAGCCCAGGGGTTTGAGGGTGCTGTGAGCTGTGATGAAGCTACTGTAGTCTAGCCCACGTAACACAGCAAGACTGTGCCTCCACAACAACAACCCCCCTCCCAAAAAACCCTAATCTAAAGCAGGTAAGTGTAGAATTTTAAAAGACCTTCTAGTACCTTGCTAGATGTTTCTCACCCAAGAATTGGGTTGGAATTTACCACTCCCCTCCTGACCAATTCCACACGTGCTCACTGTTCTCCCACAGTCTGTGACTCTTTGCACCATAAACTGCTGTTTCTGTTGGGAGCTTGGTGTCTCCTTTGGGTGGAGAAGAAAAATTATTGAGGACCTTTTATCTCGTTTATCCTCTGATCTTCAAACATCATTTCTATTAATGATTAAGCCACTCTTCCTGCTTGATTGCTGACTTATTTAATAAAAGCCTGTTTTCCTTTGCCTTCTTTTAATCCTCGCTATTTGGTTCTGCCTTCTGGAGCTATGAAACAGCATAAAACCATCTCTTTTTTATAGTAATACTGTTCACATTCTCCACATAAGCTACTGTTTACTTCCTTATCCTATTATCCAGACTGTTTGGTGTAAAAATCTAAAAGAATAAATTAATCTTTAAAAACATTATTTAATGTAAAAATGAAATTTATATCATAAGGTTAAGGCTTGATCAAAAGGGTGCATTATAGCTGTAGCTTTAGGATCTCCACACTGCTGATATAATCTTTTAACTAAGGATAACACTGCATCTTTCATCAAAATGAGTAGTCGGTGCTTGAAACCTAAGTAAAAAGGTTTAGCTAGTGTGTGTCACCTAATTACACGGCATGATAAGTGACTTTCTGATGCACGTGAATGCATTTTATGTAGCCTCAGAGTGAATCACAAAATATTTAGGGGTTAGCTGTGTGCCATGTACTAGTTGCCATAGGATACATCAAACTATGAAATGCTCGCTAGTAAGAAACTTAAAATGATGGTTTTATTTACAGTAAAATAATATTTAAACAATTTCTGTTATTATGATTGTGAAGTACATTCCCCATGAAATTGGAAATTTTAAGGGTGAGTATGGTACTTTTTCTCTAATTCCCCCTTTTCTAGTACAGTAAAAAGCAGATACTCCTTAAATGGTTGTTCACGTAATATCATCACAGATTGGTGGTTCTCAAAACTTTTGACCTTAGGATGCCTTCACATCCTTAAAAATTATTGAGGACCCTCAAGAGCTTTTATGTTGGTTATATTCATTGATATATTGTAAGTTAAAGAATAGAATTTTGAAAAATACTTATTAATTCATTTAAAACCACCAACAAAAGATCCTTTATAGATTGACATGAATAGCATATTTTAAGGAAAACCAACTATGTTTTCAGGGTAAAAAATAATGCAAGTCCTATCACTTTGCATGTCGGGCTTAATGTAACACATGGATTTTGATATTTGTTTCTGCTTTCTTTATTGTAGTGTTTTTCTTTTTTTGAAGTATATGAAGAAAACCCAGCCATATACAGGTAGAATATTGGAAAGGGGAATGGTATGTTAATAGCCTATAATTCTTCTTTGCTGCTACACTGAAACCCAATATATGAAATATTTTTAAAGACTAGTTGCAGCATGGAATCTGAAACCCTATTATTAAACTTTTTGTACCTATTGCATTAAAAGCTCTGGTCTAGATTGCCCTTTGAATGGATCTTTTGCCCAGGTATAATTTTGTAATATTCTCGCCTTAGGCATTTGGAGATGTTGATTCA